CGTGAAACATGGCCCTTGAATTGGTCTTTCCCAAGGGGATAGTATCACTCTAGAGCAAATCTTACAGGGGGGAAGTAAGACTCTAAAGTGAGACTTATTCTCTTTTGAGATTTTGGAGGGAAGTATGGCTCTAGAGTTAGACTTCCCTCTACAACACCGGGTTTAGATGTGAAAGTTATGGGTCTTTTGGATGAGACATTAAAAAAATCAAGGCACCGTGTCACGCATTGGCACGATAAAGAACTCTTACTGCTCAAAGGCCCTAAGAGCCGAGTATAGGTCTAAATTTGAAGTCCTTCACTGGTATTTGTGACGTCTCTATATGAGTGAAAAATTCGCGAACAACAACCAATCAATCTTTCATTGTTCTTAATTGTGTGCATGTGTTGACATTTTGACGATGGGTTTCTGTGATTGGTGAATGCGTAAAACAATATTAACACATTGAATCGGAGAATTTGTCATTATGTACTCTTCCAGAATAAAAATTACTTTTTGAATCAGTTGATAAATTTCACCCTTAATTATTTTTTATCGAGGTATCATTTATGTGATTAATTTTTGTGGTTTTGGCAAAAAAAAAAAAAAGAAAGAAAAAAAGACCCCCCCCCCCCCCAAATATGAATTCCTTGATATCCTCCTATTCCTATTCTATCAAAAGGAATATTTCTGGTTTGCTGATCCCTTATTTTCTTGGCTTGGGTAATCCAGAAAATAGCGAAAATACTTAGTATCGCGATTACCTCCATTTGTCTCACTTAATGCAGCGTTTTTGCGGTGAAGAAAAGGAAGCTCTAAATCTCGCTTGACTTCCACTGCATAACATTGTTTATGATAGTGACAGTCGAATGATTCTTGCAATCAGTATTGTCTAAAACAATGTATTAACAAGAATTGAACTTCAAATAGCAGGTTGTCTAATTAGAAATGTTTAGAGTATTTTATCAGCTTCCAAAAATAACGATTATCGAAATATTATTGAATTTGAATAGAAAAGTTGCCTTCGTGAATAGCATTGATAAAAAATTACATGGGGATTAGCTCCTTTCAAGTTTTATTACCTTGGTTCAACGAATGTTCAGCAAGACATTTCAATAGGACTTCTTTCTAATCTCTCCTTTAAAAATCCACAATGATTGATCTCGCATTCCCTAACATAAAATACTATAATGGTTAACTATAGTTTACTATAGTTACCTGCAACTAAAGTTAATCAAAGTAACAAATTAAAGTTTTTACTATAGTTAACCAAAGTTTCAAAGTTTTCACTACAGTTAATCAAAGTTTCAAAGTTTTTACTAAAGTAAATCAAAGTATCAAAGTTTTTACTATAGTAAATCAAAGTTTCAAAGTTTTAACCATAGTAATGAAAAAGATGGAAATAACGAACAGTATTCAACAGTATTCAAGCTTAGAAGTCTATTAAACAAAGCAAATTTTGGAGCAGAGAAAACACGGACCTCTAAAACATCATAGGTGAAAAATCCGTCTACAATTCAGTGTGTAAATAATGGCCTAACAATTAGTATGAAAAACGTCAGTCAGCATTTGACTTAATGATAAATAGAAAATCAAATAAAGTTCCAAAGTTTTCACTGTAGTAAATCAAAGTATCAAAGTTTTTACTATAGTAAATCAAAGTTTCAAAGTTTTCACTACAGTTTATAAACTTATTAAAGTATTTTAATACTTCTTTGCTTATTTTGCCATTTTGGGGTGGGGGTGGGGTGGGCTGGGGTTGTTGTATATCTTAATTGAAATTTACAAATTAGTTAATTTAAATGCAATATTTTTGTATTTATAAATTAAGAAAATACATGTTTACTGAAGTTGAAGGAGCAGATATTTTGGTTCTAAATGACTCAAAGAGCAAGAGCCACTTAGAACCATTTTTGGCCCTGAGAATTTCTGAAAAATCGAAACTGCTCAGTTTTGGTTGAAAATGCAGTATTTATCACTTGGACCCTTGGTGACCGTGTATCTATTGAACATGACGTAATTTTCTCTCTAGTCAATGCACTATGACGTCATAAAATGCGTCATTTTCCCCATATCCTGTACATTCCTTTAAAAATGGCCAAAAGTTGAAGTATTTTTTCAATATTTCATATAGAGCACAACCTCTGATCCAAAATATGCAATTACATGAAGAAAGATCTGTTTCTGAAGATCACAAAGCATGTTTTAATTTTTGGATCGTGGGCTGTGCTCATATTTTAATTCTTTGTTGAAGATAGTTAAATACGCATGTTTTCTGCAAAATTCAAGAACATTGCATTTTCTAATAGATTGTTATCCAATACCTGGATTCTCAAAAAGAAATTTTGTTATAAGAAATGAAAGAACAAAGTCTCTACTTTATTTTGATATATGAAATCGGGCAGAGGGTGATAGTGAATTAATGATATAAGGACAGGGCAATTTTATGCATAAAGTGAACCTAGCTCTTTCATTTTATAGTATATTATTTTCCTTTCTCTACAAAAAGAGACTTACACTACATCAGCATTAAATTTTATTATATTTGAATATATGTTGTTTATCTATTGGTCTATCAGCGGGAGAGATAACCTAGCATTAAAATTTATTTCTTGTACTTGCAATTTTTTCCAAGGGAGGGTTGGGTTTATTAAAAGGTCTCTGAAGCTTTTATGAATTTTGACCATGAAATATAATGCCAATAATTTGAATCCAAAACGTAATTCGCAAAACGGATGTATAGTTATTCAAAGTTTTCACAAAAGTAAATCAAAATTTCAAAGTTTTCACTACGGTAGATCAAATTTTCAAAGTTTTTACTAAAGTTAATCAAAGTTTCATAATTTTTGCTAAAGTTGATAAAAGTATTAAAGTTCTTTTTTTTTCCAAAATAAAACGAAGTTTCAAAGTTTTTACTATAGTAAATCAAAGTATGAAATTTTTCATTATAGCAAATCAAAGTTTCAAGTTTTCACTATAGTATATCAAAGTTTCAAAGATTTTACTATAGAAAATCAAAGTATCAACGTTTTCACTATAGTAAATCAAGGTTTCAAAGTTTTACTAAAGTAAATCAAATTTTCAAAGTTTTAACTATAGTAAATCAAAGTTCCAAAGTTTTCACTATACATGTAGTAAATCAAAGTTTCAAAGTTTTTACTTTGATGCTATAGTTAACTATAGGTTACTCTAGTATTTTTTTGTTAGGGTTTTATTCAACATCACATTGTCCATTGCTAACAGATGTTTCCTATCTCATCATGAAAGAGTTCCGTTAAGTTAAACAATTGAATAAAATGAATTCAATAAAAAGTAATGAAACCATGCACACTAATCAATAAACCCGAAAAAATATAATTTTTTCAGAAAAGGGAAATTTTTGGCATATTTCCTTAATTTATCAGAAAAATACTACACATGTTAGCTATGTTGTTTTATTTCGGTACATCATGTACAAAATTGTATTAATATAAATCATACAAGGTACCAATTTTGATGCACCAGAAGCGCATTTCGACAAATTATGTCTCTTCAGTGACGCTAATGCTCAAGTTTTGTCATTTTAGCATATTAATTCGAAATTCTTTTGAGGATTTTTGACTTACTAGTATTTAAATCTTGCGAGATTTTCCAGCTTTTATGAAATGAATAAATATAATGAATTAATGAATTACATTATATTTTTCCAGAAATCACAAGTATCTCAAAACAGCACATTTTGTTAAGAATATTTAGGTATGCATGATTAAAATGTTAGTTATATCAATAAACCTATCACATTGTATGTATTGTTATTTCTGTTGTTAATACCTATTCTTTGCTGGTAATGGTTATTTAAGGCTGGCTGATGTATGTTGATGATATTTATTTTAAATTATTGTCCCCCGCTTTCACTGAGTGGGGGATATTAATTTGGGTCTGTCTGTGATTTTGAGGTAAAAAGGTCAAACGTCAAGGTCATAAATTAATAAATTCTCTGTTTTAACACTTTCGTTTCCGCGCTGTATCTCGCGAATTCTTTGAGGTTTTACAATGAAATTTTACACAACAACTCCCTTTGGCCTATGGAAGACCCCTATTGATTTTGAGGTCAAAAGGTCAAAGTTCAAGGTCATTAATTTATAAATTCCGTCTGTGTGTAACACTTTCGTTTCCGGGCGATATCTCAAGAAGCTTTTGAACTTTTGCAATGAAATTTTATACCATAACTCCCTATGGCCTCTCTCGCCCCTCTAAAAGTGTCCCGCCCCGGGTTTTTTTTTTTTATTTATTGTATTAAAAGTCGCTTGGCACTATTTTTAGCACAGGGGCATGTGGAGAGTTATTACGTATAATACAGGTTGTCGGCGGACTTTATATTCTAGTTACATCTATTAGAACTGTTTAGTAAAGGCTAAATTAGACACCATGTATTGTGTAAAATTTTGACAATATCGAACGTATATATAAACATTATATGTGACCTACTGTTTGCATTTAATCTGCTGTATAATCAAGTGGCTCCGTGGTCTAGCAGAATGATGCTGGATTAACAAGCGAGAGACCCGGGTTCAATACTCAGAGGATCTTTTTTTTTTTTTTTTATTAACTAAATTATAGTATTCAACATGTGAAATGAAAAAGTTATGACGTCTGGTGTGTACAAACTCATAAAATCATTTTTATAGTGTGATAAGTATTCTATATCTTAAAAAGAATCTTCTATACACATTTTAAAGAATAAGCAATCAAATCTTTATATCCATAATGGCATTTTTATATGCTTCAATATACATGTATACATTTAATAATTCTACAAATCGACCCACATCCCAGAACTGCGCATGCTCTTCTTTTTTCCCTAAGCGGGTTACACAAATTATCTGAATTAGCTTGTTTATTTTATAGTGTTGCTTATGTAATTTATGATACTTGAAATGATAGTCAGATACGATAAAAGATGGAGGGAATAGTCCATGGTCTGTATAAAGCATAAATAAGGAGGCAACCTTTTAATAAAATTTTATTTAACCATGGTTATAAAATACAATGAACAATGATTAGTAATCTACAATTTTAAATTATGTTGTAGAGTAGATACAAAAATACATGTGCAACTGAATTATATCTAACAGATAAAGCTATAAATGTTTTATTAGTACTGAAACTAAAATGCTACTATTCCTGAACTAGTGGTTTAGAAATAAGGAGAATGGTGACAAGTTATTGTTTCACCCTCTCTACCAACATGACGACACCTGCTCCGATCGCCGCTATCATTCCTATGATGCTGAAGGCGAAAGCAAAGTGGTAGTTGAAGTCTATGTTTTTGTACAAGTCGTTTGTTTTGGCGGCATACACTGCTATTGATATCAGGATAAACACCGCTATAAAATAGAATATAAAAAAATACATCTGTATTTGAAACTGAGAAACCACTAAAATATGTTCATTGGGAAACAGCAAGAAAGATAAAAGTTTATGTAAATTATTCGTGTGATTTTTAAAGCTTGAAATAAGAACTATACCAAATAGTTCCTTTTAAAGTTATTTATTCTACATTATTTCCAACATTTGACATTTTCGTTTGAAAGTATTTTTCATGAAACATTTTAAATCATTATGAAATTAAAAAAATGAATCAAAATACAACCCTTAATCAAATGTCTCACCTCCAACAAATGCTGTGCCTATTGCTACCAATAAAATTGGTTTCTTGTCTTTCAGAACAAACAGTTTTAATACTACCATGATTACTGGTACCACTAAAACCAGAAAGCCAAGGATGCTCATTGCTCGGACTGCCTTGAGCCAGTCTGTAATCAGAAAATTTAATTTTCCTAGATACGGCATTTGTAATTTGTCATTTGCTTTACCTGCACTTTGTACGATGGCCAATATAGACCTTGTAATTAAGCTGTTAAATCAAGTGAAGAATGTCAGTGTTATATGTACAGTTTGCTTTGGCAGGAGTTAAGTGTACAATATAAACACAAAGCATTCAACACTGTTACGGTACTCGCATCGCTGGTATGATGTAAAGTGTACATATTTCTTTCATTGAGGTTTACGCTTACCTGCAATTAAAATTTTTCAAAAAAAAATAAATAAATAAATAAAAAATAAATTAAAAATATGAAAAAAATAAAGAAAAAAATCTCTGAATCTGGAAACAGCGGTAGTGGCATAAAAGACAGTCAGAGATCCTTGAGGCAATATAGTTTTCAAACTGGCTGGTTTAACTTTTACAAGGATTGACTTACCCAATAGTAAAGTCACAACTGCAATACAATCTTCAAAATTCTAAAGTTATCAACAAAATTTTCTATACTTAAACACAATACCTCCATCCTTTTTACCCCCATTTTAAAATTCCATTCAGATTAAATAAATGCAATACTTTTTAAAATATTAAATAAACACAAAGTAAAATTTCTTCTATTGCTGCAGTAAAAAATGTTACCAACGTTGCAATGACGTTATCTTTAGGTACTTATTTTCAGGTCCATAAATCGTCTAAATCTACACAAAACTTTATATTTCATGTACACTCCCAATGTGTGCTAAACATCTGGTTATTTCAAATATATATATTTTTTTAAATTGTCATTGTGCATTTGCACATTCATTCTGCTGTGCGTTACATGCATGTAGATTTAATGCAGAGAGGATTCAAGACGAATGGACGAGAAATGCTTCCACGCACTTTCTCCTTCCAGGCATTTGCTAATTTCCGTCTTTATTATGTTAAATATTTCCCTTATTAGTTCATAATGTTTGGACGTCAAGTCGGGTTATCAACCTTTTCAACATTTCAACCGACAAGGAAAACAGGAGTGGACGATCAGTCAACCTTTAACGTCACTTAATTACTCCTGAATCTGACGATAGTAAGATCTACTCAAAAGGAATGTAGAAATATCATTTCCATAAAGTTTAAATCATTTAAAACTACACATTTTAACAAGACATTTAATCACAAAATGAAGGAAATGTTTATTAAAAAGAAACATGTAAGAGGTTATAAAGATTTGCGGTTGAAAAGAAAATGAGTACCGAAAAGTAACGTCATAACGACGTCATTAACATCTGTGCCGTGTGGCGATAGACAAAACCTTCTTTGTGGTGTTTATCTCAATATTTTAAAAAGTAGGATATATACGGAATGAAATTTCAAGGCGAAGGTAAAATTAAATAGGGGGTATCTGTATGCAAAATTTTGTTGAGAACATTTGATTGTCAAGGATTTTAAAGTAGTTGAGACATTACTTTAGGGTCAACCCTCTTATTACAAAAAATAAATAAATAAATAAATGAACTTTTTATAATTATTGTAAAAGCCGAAAATAACGAACATTGATCAATCTCAGAAATCCAGTGATCAATAAGAATCGTGAACAAGGCTAAAACACGCGTACGGATCCTTGGAAACACCAGAGGTGGGATCAGGTGACTGAGAGGATTAATCATATCCTGTCGACCGGTCACACCTGCTGTGAGTCCCATGTATCGATCATATAAACAGGTAAACGGATTACTCCGTAGTCAAATTTAGTATAAAACAATGACCTAAAAGATAGAATGATACATGTCAGATAGAATGCGACCCAAATAGGTTGTATTTACAAACAAGGTCATTATAATGACCGTAGAAATTGCGAAATGCTGACTTTAAACGGGGTTGAAATCTCTGTAGCATCAACTTAGCTGTTAGTAGCTTGCCTCGGTTTAAAAATTGATCACACTCAAAGCAGTCTCTTGTGTATCAAATCATTTGGGAGACATAAACACCATATGGGAGTGATGTTGGAATATAACAACATAAAAAGAGAAGATGATGATGGGGAAGGATAAGTCATCCTGTTTATTATACAGTTTAGTTATTTAGTTGGCAATTATCGTCAGTAATCAGTAAAACACCCAAATATGAAACAGATATCGCAAACTCTGTTGTTTTTTTTATTTCGAGTTCACTGGGATATATTGAGTCGAAACATGAATGAAAGTAACTATTGTTAATTGATGGGACGTCAATATTTCTAAAAGTTGCGTTGAAGGCTACGGCATCTCGATTAAAAGTTTTTGAATAAATTTTACTTCATAAGAATGCATATATAAAAACAGGTCGGCAAGTAGAGAAGCACAATTAATTCCCATCAAATTCCGACAGATTAATGGAAAACTTGGTCCCCAAAGACTACATATATATCGTCAATGATGAACTCCAAATCTTTTTTGAATCAATTTCGGATTACTTGTATGTACATGTAGAATTAGAATGATTGTTTACAAAGTAATTTTGTAGAGGACCAATCACAAGATATGAAAATTTACGAGTTCCATTTTTACTGAGGAAGCAGTTGTCTATGATGTCAAAAAGCCTGATCCTTAATTTATCCCGAGAAATGGTTGTATAAAGCGTAAAAAGTCATATGTTTTGATGCTATTAATCTTTGAAAAAAATTAAGATTTCAAATTTTTCAAAATTTCTTTTAAGTTTTCTTAAATCCACTTTTGATTTACACCACTTCTTAAATATGTTGTAGCACAAGGTGTTTGAAGTTTTTCCTTCATAGCAGTTAATGTAAGCATAGTGACTTGGTTGAACGTTTACTCGACCCTGCGATATATCTTTGTTTGTGAGGATTTTTATGAAAAATAAAATCCAGTTCAAGTACGGTAAGTGAAAATGTCGTCTTGTCATAATGTAGCACTGAAAATCTACACTTAATTTGACTCTAGAATGAGGTGTCTGATATCTGCATCAAACCTTTCAGATAATTTTTTGTACATTTTGAGAGAAGAGATATATTTATTTAGACTTACTTGAAAATCAAGCCAAGTATATTAAGGGCTATCACTTTGATCAAAATGTTTTCACCCTTGATATAGGTTTTCCCTTTTATGAAAAAATTGTTTAATCATCGTTATAATTTTCAAAGTGTTTATCTGTACCGTCATCTGTAAGTTCCACATCACTGCATATCGTGTTTCCAGTCAAAACTGTTTCGGTACACGCTTTCCATAAACCAGCGTTTGCTTTGGCTATCTTTAAATCAAGAAATATCCAGTAAGGTGACGCCAAACCAATCAGTTGGAAGATAACCGCACATATTGTTAGCAATAGTGCAATTAGCAAAGATTTAGAGCTTTCCATGTTTCAAATCTGAAAAAAATAGTACAAATATAATGTGTTATATTTCATAACTAAAAATACATCCCATGCTTATGATAGAATCATTAATATTAATAGACAAGAAAACTTTTATCCTTATTCATAAATAGATTATCTCCACTGATAATATTTTGATTTTTAAATAAACACTTTTCCTGTTCTCCCTAATGAAATAAAAGCGGAAAATTTCTGAAAGTTTCACAGAACCAAAACCGACTTTTCTTATATATACACGTGCAAATGAATTTAACTCTATCTTATGTATTAAAAAATTCACGTATTTTTCATGGAGGCTTACATGTATCTATAAATCAACATGCGATCGAGTTTGACCAATTTATTTTGACTTGATTGATATTCGAGATTTTCGTTATTGAAATAATAATTGACATAATGTAATGATAAAAATGAAATAATGAGTATTGCATTATTCCTTCAATCATAATCCGATTTATGAATGCTGAGGAACATTTGGAGGAAACGACTGTCATAGGCATTCGGAACTGCGTTTGATCTTTCCTTTCAGATTCTGTCATTGCCTCACCTGTCTTGGTATAAACTTAGCCCAAAAATTTATCAAAATAAATTTGTAATGAGACCTCTCCAAGAACTGAGCGTTCCTCTAGTTAAGCCTGATATACTGAAAATGTTGACCAAAATACTTCAAAGATGGATGGAGCCCAATTTTAACAGAAAAGGTATCCTTCTATCCATCCAGCCAGCCAGCCAATTTTAACAGAAAAGGTATCCTACTATCCATCTATCTATCTATCTAGATTTCTAGATTTCTAATTTTCTACAAGCCTGAACATGTCTAATATTAAGGCCTGTTTTCGTATAATTTAAATTAAGGACATAGGCAACGTACCTTACCTACTGATAATTTTTCAAGATATTCTTAATTTAAGATTATAGTGCCATCAGATGTTCGTCGACAAAAAATCAGCATGCATTACCAGGGGTTTTGAAAAGAAATCAATTGATGAAAATTCTTGTATAATTCAAAGAAAAATACACAAAAATTACTAAACACATATTCTAGAAGTTTTGTTTATCCAAACTTGTTTTAGAAGAAGTGTACAACAGCACATATAGACATACAAATGTAGCACACAATTCCTTTAAGTATTGGAACTCTTCAACTCCAGGGGAAAAGGCAATAAAGTTCAAACTACGTTGCGTATGTCCTTAAGGCTAATTCACAAACAATACAGTAAATGTAAAATCGTTTATCCCGTTGGGTCATATTTTTGTAGATTGAAGTAAAAATATTCGTTCGTTTGGATTTGATGTAATGGTTGACGGAAAATCATGATAGTGTATTTTAAAATTTTAACCTTTCGTGAAGGACTTGAATTCGTGGGTCTTTTCATTCCATGACCCCCTCCCCCCCCCCCTTGATTGTTTTTATTTCACAATACTCTGAAGCAGTTTGATATAGAAAACACATATAAATTCCCTCAAACTGCTTTAGATTGCTACTTTGCAAATTATAACGTAGTTTTAGACCACTAAAATAGATAGACTACAGTTAATAGCATCTTGTAATGAAAACAATACTTAATCCACAAAAGAGGCCAATAAATAGAAATCAAAGAAATTCATAATAAACAATCATTTCTGTTATATATATATATATATATATATATATATATATATATATATATATATATATATATATATATATATATATATATATATATATATATATATATATATATATATATATATATATATATAATTTTATGACAGCTTACCTCTTGTTCTTAGGAAAGTTTTAAAGAATATTCAGTTTTGGAGGTTTATTGAGACGTTTCTTATTTATTCTATTTCAGGCATGTGTTTTTGCAAAGGTTTGAAAAGAAAATCAGATAAAGAGGAGTTGTAAGGACTGGAATCTTAAAAAGCAGTAAAGATTGCAGAGATAGTATTGATTTCAATTTTGTTTATGAACCGGAACCTTTTGTTTGCAGATGAGTGAGATGTTTACACTTCAGTGGGCGATTTATCTTGCATCATTATTCCCAGTTATTTGCTATGGAAATGATGATGTTATCGCACGAAGTGTATGAAATGATTTGCCTATGAGTTGGGACTAATTCATGAATTTGCGCACTAACTGAGCAGTTAGCGCATATGCTAAACGATTTATGTCACGCAACCAAATGTTTTACGCGACTGGATACTTCGTCAAAGCGTTACTTAAGGTCTGTAGCCATCACGGACTGCAATCCGAAAGCCCGAGATGATGGATATTGTTAAAAAGAAATTGGTTAATTTTTTCATAGGAAAGAATTTATGTTCAACCCAAATTGTATGTTGGAATGACTACATAAATTATCTCTGTCCCGTACATTTACGGCTTTACACAAGCTCACAATTTAACAAGCGCATACTTTATATGTACATGTATTTCCATATTGTGATTTGGTTTTCAATATTTTTTTGATAGTTTAGATTCAACAGGTTAAGACCAGTTTAAAGATATACTTAAAAGTATACTAAAACTTTTCACACAGTCTTTTAGTAGCATTTTAGCTCAATACAGCACAGTGACGAAAACTTCACATATTTTACATTTATTTTATTAATTTCGAAATAATTCAACACATTTCAATACTTTTCGCAGCATTTTGATTTCCTTATACTGTAAGAACAAATAATGTTTTATCTTGGAAGACCAACATTTCATTTTTCTAGTAAAGCTTTCAATCTTAATATACAATCTTGAGATTGTAAAGAAGCTATCTATCTCTATTTGCATTTTGTTTCTTACATCATCTAAAATGATTTCATGAAGATATTTTCCTTCAATTTAAAATCCAATGCAAGGCAATTTGTAAAGTGTACACCTAATTCTTCTGTGCAATTTGCAAGACCACATAATGTTGGCTGGGTTGCCCATAGAACATTATATTAGTGTTTAAAAATATATTTTAGCTGTAACAGTCATTCTACAAAAACATGCCCAATTAAGAATTTTTATGTCGCTTTACAAATTTACCGTTGTAACAACTTAACTATAAATTTAAAACAATTTTAAGTCAAAAACTTAATATACACACATGGTTTTGTAAATATTTAGCGGTATATATATATATATATATATATATATATATATATATATATATATATATATATATATATATATATATATATATATATATATTATACTTTCATGTAAATTAGTTGAATCTGATTCGTCGAGAAACATTTGTTAAAAAACACTATTACCCGCTGAATAATGAAGCCACGCCCACCAGCGTAGCAACAGTTAACATTGCTTGACGACGGGTGTTATTCAAAAAAATATTGACTGCGCAGAATTCATGCGCGCAAGGTTCACTGTAATATGTATTTGTATAAAACATTCAGTATAATATAATAAATACTGCATGTAGTTGAGTGTAACATTGAAAATTTTCACCCCTCGAAAACCATTGTCAACCTCGGCTGCGCCTCGGTTGACAATGGTTTTCTTGGGGTGAAAATTTTCAATGTTACACTCAACTACATGCAGTATTTATATAATATATAAAGCACTAAAAATGACCAACGACACGAACAATAATGATTGTCAAATTTTCGGGACGACCTGTCCCTTCGTCAGGACAAAGAAAAAAGTTAAGAAGACATAAAAACAAAGGAAATAGAGAAACCAAAACAACTAGCACTACTACTAAGCTACTAAACACTAAATATTTACAGTGTTACATATTTAATTTGAAGTTTATAAACAGTTGTGAGCAAAGAAATCCGGAGCGCTATAAATTGCGTCCGTTCTATCGGGTGTACTCTGGTGAAGTGCGATTTACATGATTGAACGAATTAATTAATTATCGCTAATTAATTACGACCAAGCAGTAAATCGTACATTGTCTTATTCTCTCAAAATAGCGTAACTATACATGATAAAAAGAAATTAAAGAAAGATAATATGGAAGGGCAATTTTAAAATATAAATTTGGATATATTATAAATTTGGAAATCGGATAAAAGAAATAAACAAATATGTAAGCTGTAAATATTTGGGTAGGTTGTTCCAGAATTGCTAATGCGAATTAACGGTAACGTTTACACTAAATAGAGAGAATGAACTTGTTTGTTACAATCCGGGATTGGGTCTAGTTCACGTTCATCCTGGTGAAGTCATTTAGTTTGTTAATACCATTAGGGCGGAATGACTTCAGCCTGTGCATCCAGAACTTCTCCTTGCCTTTACTCTGAGAGTCTGTCCATCTTGGATTATGGTCAATAACCACTACTGTCATGTCCTCCCATTTGTGACAGGACAAATTCCCTAGTATTTTGTAGCTACGGCCTGTAACGGGGCTGTTAAAGCTGTCTGTGTCAGAGCTGTGCTTACAGAGAAGACATCTTCTGTCAGAGCAAGTTTTAAAGCCACTGTTAGGTAATGGATTGTCCAATCTGGTTCTTACCACCATGTCCTTTAGGTTCCTCGGGCGTCTGTATGCAGCCAATGGGGGCTCCTTAAAGACCTCTGCCATTCGTTTATTTGAGTGGAGAATTGGCAGATTCTTTTGAAGGATACCGCTGAGGTTCTTAAGGACGGGATGGTATGTGGTTACCAGAGGGACCCTGCCGCTATTGTCTTTTTCCTTGTAGCGTAATAGGTTTTGCCTGTCATATCCCGCCATCTCATCAATAGCAGTTTGTACGGTGCGGGCATTGTAGCCTCTCTTGTATAAGTGGGACTTAAGGAGACCGCTTAATTTGTTCCTGATATAAGGCAGGGGATGAACAGATGCGCCGAATTCTGGTGGCCAGACCCTTAGACACACCCTTAAATGTGTGTGGGGGATGACAGCTAGTTGGCATAAGATACAGATGGGAATCTGTGGGTTTGGTGTGGAGACTGAACTCGATTTCACCATCAGTCAGGGTAGATGTAGTATCTAGGAATATGTTTTTCAAATTAGATAGACTGATGAAAGGTGTTGGCAAACGAAATGAATGCCTCG